ATTTACTTCTACTCAGACTTTCATCCATAATCCAGTACCTCTTCAGGAACTCACAATTTCTAAAATGTTCAAAATGTTTTTGCATGCATTTGGAAATGTACTGAACATTCTTCAATGGAATTTAATAAGGAACTTGAATATGGATGAAAGTCTGGCCCATGAGATTAGACATGGCACAGACTGTAAAAAATCCATAAGGTCTGTGCCCATGAAAATAAACATGGCATACAGGTATACAATTGGGAAATTCTGCAATGCACCGCTTTTAAAAAATTATTTAGGTCTGTGACTTAAAAATATACGTGGAACAGCCTGTAAAAATGAACTTTTGCCATGAAAATAAACATTTTGCACATGCACAAAATGTTAAAATTCTGTGCACTGCCTGTGAGAAATTACATAGGCTGCACCACAAAAATAAGCCCAGCATATAGAGTTGTGAGTTATCAAAGTAAGTGTTGCATTAAAATTAAGCCTTTCTTTCAGGATAAGCTATTTTTCAGATTGGAATTGACTTCCAGCAAAACAGCTATTTTTGCTATAGCACTGTCCTCTATGTATTAAATGTATTTAGATACCAATTAAAAGATGTATTTGATAATAAAATATACTACAGTATCATTAATTTTAATATCACTCTTTTTTCTCTAAATAAAACACTCAAATTATTTTACATTTATCTGCTGGTTTCCCTCATGTGGAAGCTCTCCTACTGAATGTGAGGCGGACTAATTCTATTCCGAGCAGAATGCAAGCCAGGTCTAAAGTAAAATTTTTCATAAATGTACAATGCATTACAAATTACTCGTTTTTCTGGTTTTTTCTCATTATTTTGTCTTACCACAAATTTTTGTCCTCATACGGATGAGGGAATCCAGCAAATGGAGTTGTTGTGGGAATAAATCCAAAGTGCCCCATGCTATATACTGTAATACAAACATCCCCATTCTTATGTTCATTTTTGTAAAACTTATGTTCAGTTTTGTAAAAATTAATTGTAAGAGGTGCAAAAATAGTAGGGCATGGAGTGCAGCAGAATTTTGAGGATAACATGTATTTAAAATCCTGCTCAAAGGTTCCCCTGGTAAAAAAAAAGTTACTGCCAAATACTCTGATAAATTCTTATACTCATGTGAAATTCTTAATTAATGCATTTACTTTCTTTTTTCATATCTGCACGTTAACATGAAAAAATAATTTTAAATAGCCCTGCGGATCTATTCCTAAGAGTTGCTAAAATGCGCAAACTTGCACAGAAACAATTTTTCTAAAATGCAAAAACTACGCTTGCGGAGGGCGCAAACTTGCAGCTGAAAGTGTGTCCCCAAAATGAGGATGACACTTTTGGCACGCAAATTCTCCTGAAAACTCCAGCCCTGCCCCAGACAAAGGACTCCCGGCGGACCCTTTTCTGGGGTGGGATCGCCCTTTTTTTTGGCTGCATGAACTGCAGGATTACCTGCATGCACTCATCGGCGGTACAGTTATTTTGTCTGATGAAATTTTGTGATAATCTTGGAAATGGAACAATGTTCATTCAGCATAATTTTACATTGGTTTTGTAATGAAATAATTGGCAAAATATCTTCATGACAAGTACAGTACCACTTCACTATGTTGAGCCTAAGTGAATGCAGTTACAAAGAGAGAGTTGACCTCAAGATGCGCAATTACAGGGAAATCTAAGGATATCAGCCCTCTTGACGTGAACATGACAAGCTGCAAATCATTAAAAGTAAATACAGTAAGTAGAGAGGAATTTTTCTTAATACGCACTATGTGGGACAAGCTGAATAAACAGGATCCCTAATTCGATACTCTATGCCGTTACGTGAAAGCTGAAGAAAATATATAAGAATTTTGCGTGATTCTAAAATTGAACATGGCCAGACCCATAAAACGCGCGAGTTGAAATGTGGTTCTTCCTTTTAATGTTTGGGTGAAATTAGATTAGTTTGGTACGCATACAGTAAATGAATAAACAAAGGAAACAAATTTATTTCCATCAACACTTCTCATCAATCGAAGTATTTATGCAACTTGAGTTTCGGCGTGATGTTCATTGACTGAAGTTCTTGAAACAGCAATTTGCACGCATAAGGTATCCGTATCGTGGACATCTTGCTCGAACTCTGGCAAAAGTGGCACCAGTGAGAATATCCCAGCAGTCCGCAGCCATTGCACACTTCCACAGAGAACACATCAGATGACAGCATCAGCCGTTCAACAAGCAGCATGCTGAATAAAAAAAAAAAACATCCGTTCAAATCTTGTTCATATAGTTGACTCTCGAAGTCAGAATTCATCAGAAGTATGTCTTCTTGTCCGGGTATATTTATTGGGGTCAGGAAAAAATGCCAGCAAGAAGGAATTCCCGCAGAAGCAGGAGAGAAACTGTCGTGGCAGACAAAACACCGTCAAGTAAAACAGGGCGGAGACCAACGATAATTGAAATAACAAACCCCATATTACTTCAAGAGTCCAACTGTGGTTTATCAACACAAAAAATAACTATCCATTCAAGAGATGCCACTGCTTAAAAGTGCACATTTTGCTTCTGAAGCATCTACAATTGAAAAACATTGACCAAAGATTCTAAATAGTTACTGTACTGTTGCTAACAGTGCATGAAAACTTGAACTAACAATTCAATCCTTTCTTTTTCGGACTTGTCCGCCCTCGGCATTATGTCATATCATAATGAAATGTTCTTTCCCCAACATTGGTTCTACCGGGATCCTAGACAGACTAGCAATTTCCCATTGCCCCGTTTTAAAATTACATCAACGCATAAGCAAGGAAATTCACCAACTGCTATCTGAAAAGCCTTAAAAATCAAATTAATGCGCATCGAGCCAAACTTGTAAAAAAAAATAGAACTATTGCATAGTGATTTTAAATTTCTGATTTTGCTAATTTTTCCTGCATTTATTCACTACGAATGATTAACGTAAATGCTCATTTTCTCGTCATACTGTACTTGAAACTACACAGAAAACTCCACATGAAATTGCTTCAGACACTCAATATCGGCAGAATACTAACCTCGCACCGTATCCTATCAAACAATCACGTTCCATTTCTCCCAGCCGCAATCCTCCTTCTCGACTTCGACCCTCCGTCGGCTGCCTGGTCAGAACCGCTCTCGGGCCTCTTGCTCGAGCATGCATTTTGTCAACGACCATGTGTTTCAGTTTCTGGTAATAGACCTGAAAAGAAAAATCATGGATTTAAATTTCTAACGCGGTTAAGAAACTGCCAACACAGCCGAATGCATTATCGTCACAATATAACCGGAACATGCATTGATTAAAGATTTTAGAAGTACAGTACAGCACATACTGTACTTGTAAAGTCAGCGAATTCAACCATGTTTTCTTCTCGATTCCCGTGTTCCCAAATTTCTTAATCAGCGAGCGCTTTTCTTACAAATGAAATTAGGTGCAACATTTCTTGGTAGAGAACAGTATTATGTATACAAAATAATGCACTTTACGTCATAAAAAGACATGCACGGAGAAAATTTCGGTCATTACAATATTTGGGAGTCAATTCCACACGGAATTAAATTGGCTTGTGAGGATCTCAACTATGAACAAGTCCGAAAATGTATCCGCAGACCCTCCTGAGGGAATCAGGGGAAAATTGACTAATTTTCCGGCATTTTCTCCAAAATATACATCGACCCTTGCTCACAAGCTTCTGCTTGAAAATGACCGACATTCATCTCGGTTTCAATTTTTATATAAAAATGCAATAACGAAGAAAGGTAATCTCAACACCTCAACGAGACGAAAATCCGGCAACGAAACACTATCCGTTATGCTATAACTAAAGCTTCACTGAGTTCGAAGCCGATGATGAGTAACCCTGTATCTTGCGTTTTTCCGCTCAAGAATACAATAAACGATACACTAATTCCTGCAGCCTCAACAAGTGAAGCTGATGCGAAACGCCATTTCGCATCCATCAAAAACCTCAGACTACATTACGCAGTTAAAACGGACATGGAAATGAAGCCTAGGAAATTGATTAATACTAACAATTAATAAAAGGGTTCTACAGTATTTAAAAAATACAGCATTCCTAGCGAAAAATAATGCTTCAAAACTCACAGGCCCAAAGAAGATGTAAGCCGACATGGTTTCGCCGGTAATTCCCGAGGTCATCGGTTCCTTCCCCTGATAGTTGTAGTTATTTTTGATCAATTCCGCCCCCACGTCTTTCACAGATGATCCCCCGAAAGCTGTCAAAAACAATAGTCATTCCCAACAATACCGACAATTGTTTCAAGAAACAAAACAGAAGAATAATTATGGTATAAAAAAACCACTCACCCGTTCCGTAATGAAATTTCCCCTCTATGATCCCCGCCTTGCCGGCTAAAATCTCGATGAGTTTCCCAACGGTCATCCGTGACGGGAACCCATGTGGGTTCATGACAACGTCCGGACAAATCCCTTGATCGTTGAACGGCAAATCCTCTTGTTCCACGATCAAACCCGTCACGCCCTTTTGTCCGTGTCGAGAACTGAACTTGTCGCCGAGTTCTGGCCTTCGGGTCTGCCTCAACAACAGCTTGATCAAGTAGGATTCTTCGGTATTTGATGTAATCATGATCTGGAAGCGGAATTGAAAGCATACAAAAACATGTCGGCACGAAGAAAATTTCCAAGAATACGAAATCGACAAATTCACGAAAAAATACAATGCCTGTACTGTACAACGAAATAAATCTCTGCAGTGAAAAATCCTATTACAGTAATAAGGTAAGCGATGCTGTGTGGACAAATTCTGAATTACAGTCGAACATCTTCAAGTCGAATTCCAAGGGACCAGCAAAAAATCGAGTTAGTGAAAAAAATTTTGTAGTGAGAAAGATAGAATTGCAGGAAATTGTCCTATTCTGGGCTTTAAATTGCTTCCCAAATACGTTGACAGGATGCTGAACTTGGATAAGAGGGTTCATTTGCCCACTTAGTCTTTCATTTGCTTTCAAAAGACATCTACTTACTTTTTTACTGCTTTTCTCTTTCCTGCGAAAATTAAATAATACCCAAAAAGGGCTCAAAAATTTCGATTTACGGAGGTTCGAGATGAAATGCCTCCATGTCAGAGAGGTTTTCAATAAATTGTAATCTAAGGCATTTCAGACGGGGACTTGAAAAAAAAATATTCGACAAGGGAGGTTCAAGTCATCAAGGACCAACTTTTATTCAATAAGTATAAATGAAAATAAAAATTCCAAGGGAACAACATTCGTGTACATTACCTAATCGTGGAAAGGCGTCTTTGAGGTTTCTTTTGAACCATTTTGAAAGTTCCGGCTTACCTTTCTCAAGATCCCAACCAAGATGTGACCTTCTTTGGAGCTATAATCTCAGCATTGGCTCTGTTTATAAACTATTTTCGTACTTTGTGGGATTTTTAGGTCTATTGGATTTTTTTCCTGCACCCAATCATGCCTCCATGAAAGTTCAAAATTCACCTTTTCGACATACGACGGAAGTGGTGACTTGTAAGTCAAAGGGGATTCTTTGTGCCCAACCGGAGCAGGCCCATCAAGAGTTTGATGGATGACAAGCGGTACATGCCGATTGATCATAATTTGTTTACTCAGGACTTTCGATCCCACTGCTGTTATTCCGTCAGATTCCAGCGTCTTGTATCTCCAGAGAGGTTCTTTCGTCACTGCGTCTACGACTGGCCCTTGAACGATATCCTGCGTTTGATTCGAATATCGCTTGAGTGGCACTTTCGCATTTCGGTACACCAGGCATCGACCATATCCTGCAAGAAAACGATCCCCTCGTGAAAAATGCAGGTACCGACGGAAACGCGAAAATAATTTGCAAAAAGGTGCACGAAGTCTCCGGAGTTTAAAGATAAACTTTCAACGAGAGACAAAGCCCGGTGAGGAAATTCCTCGAAATCTTTCAATCCTTTTAGAAAAATTAGATGAATTAGGTTATCCAAAGCAAGTTCTGTTGACAAATTATATTTTAAAACAAAAGCTATTCTAGCTCAAATCAGAAGCAATTCAAGGCAAAGTAACGAACAGTTCATCACCTCTTTGCCTCGTTCCAAAATGTATTCCAAGAATGACGTGAAAAAAATCGCAACTATACTTGACACGTTTTGAAAATTATTTTGTTTCAGGCAATTTCACAAATCGAGAAAAATCTCGCACTGGAAACCGAAATCACTCAACAAGCGACTAATCGCAGCATTTGAGTACACTACACTACTGCAATACGAGATTAATTCCGCATACAACTATACAAGCGGGAAACCGTCACTATCCCCGCGCGACGAAAGCCCGGGACACGAAAGCCCCGCGCGACAATAGCCCTGACACGAAATCCCCGCCATACCCGCGCACAGCTGTAACGAAAGCCCCGCCCGAACTTT